ACGGATTTTTAAGCGAGGGCTGGAGGCGCTGAGGTTAGTAGAATACTGTGAATGAATATTGCCTGAGCCCCGCAGAAAAAGGGTTTTATTTTACTTTCTTTTGTTTGATATTATATTATTTTTTTAACAAAGTGACCTGTCGTCTGTAGCCTTGGGCTCTGGCGGGCAAAGCCCCTTCCTTGGCAGTGGGGATGGCCTGCAGGGTCTCTACCTCTGTCCACATCAGCGACCCCACCCCGTGCCTGCACATTGGCACGTGAAATCAGACACGCCGTCGTCAACCAAACGCAAGCAGCCGCGTTAAGTGACGCCAGAGAAGGCCCCGCTAGTCCATCCCGGAGGAGAGAGGAAGATACCATCAAGCTTCAACTGGGTGCAGCAACCCTCCCCAGATACCCAGAGAAGCAGAGTTGTGGGGGCTGTTGACGCAAGCAGAATGGGGAAGGAGACCAAGAACTGGGTTGCCACTAGTCTGGGATCCAAGTCCCATTCGATATGCTGCCCCACTGCCTTCTCAGGGACAGCTGAGATGATTCTAGGTCTCATCTCGCCAGAGCGACGAAGATGAAGGTTCCTGCCGAGGACTGCGTGCGAGGGGGTCCAGCGCTGCTGCAAACTGTCGTCAAAGACAGAAAGGCTTTGCTACTTCTGGACAGAGGAAGCATTGGTAGAGAGAGTCCTGGGGGCTCTAAGGAAACCACCTTAACCAAGCCTTAGCCCTGGTATATGAGGTCCCAGCATAAGCCTACCATTTTCTAAGTTGATAGAACAGGAAAAAAACAAACAAAAAACAAACAAAAAACTTTGGTGTGGATAAAGGAAACAGAAGAGGGAGAAGATGTTGGGGGGGAGGGCAGGGAAGAGACAGGGCAAAGTGGAGGGAGGGAAACACGTTAAACATTTTTGCAGGAAGAACAGGAGAACTAGGTCTGGAAAGATCAATCAAAGTCAGAGGGTGCAGACACACACCCTGCTCATCGAGGACCCAATGAGTCTCAACTTCTCTTAGCCCTTCAGAGAGAAGAAAAAAAAAAATGCAATCCCTCACACAGCTCTCCAAAAATAAACACCTTTACCATACATTTATTAAATGTTTTTAAAATATTTTTAGAAAGGAATTTATATAGTTCTTTTAGTCATTTTTTGACTGAGTAATTAAGCTTCAGCTATCTCCTGTTTTCCACAGTTGCCACTGAACTGTTAATACATTGTTACAAAAGAAGTAGCAATGATTTTTTAAAGGCAATTAAGTAGAATTAAATACATCTTCAATGGTACATTTTATGTTTTCCAGGCCTTCTCTATTCTTCAAACAAAATCTAAGATCAAAATTTACATAAAATGCATAAAATACTCAGCAAGAAGTGAATGAACTTATACATCCCAAGCACAATAAATTCTGGATTTTATCTTTTCAGATAGAATGTCAACAATGAGAAAGACTCTTCGTGGGGGGCGGGGAAAGGGGAGTTGGGAAGCAGAGTGATAAATAAACTTTTAAGATTAGAGTAAAATTTCTCTGGTTTCTCTTGCTAAAACCTGAAAAGGAAAATTAGTTATGTGTCTAAAATCAGGTTTCTACATAACATATTATTTTTTAAAAAATCTCTTCTTCAATTATCACTTTCTCAAGTTCAGTTAAAATACAATTGTCAGATTAGGGACGCTGGGGGAGGAAGGGTAGTTTTAAAAAATTCCTTCTGAAAATCTGCTATAAGAAACTTCTCCCGTTTACTTCTCCTCCCTCAAATCAGTCACGATTCTCGCTTCTCCATGTGCTTAGATTAACTGCTGCTTGCGGGGGGGGGGGGGAGTGTTAATAAATCAATCAATAGGGACTCTGTATTCATAAAGGCCTCTGATCTGATTACACCCCCCCCCTTTTTTTGTCCCTCTCTAAAAAATTTACCTCGGCGAGCCAGGGACTCCCAGCGTAGCCCGCGTCGACGGAGAACTGCGGGCGGGAGGCTGGGAGCCCCGGCGACGGCGGCGAAGGCGCCCGTGGATTAGGATGTGGATTGCAGGACAGACCTTTGTTTGGTCACATTCGCGACGCGGGGGCAGGGGGCGGTTATCCTCCTTCGACAACGCGCCAGGTTTTTATAGACTCGCCTTAAAAAGAGTTCGCTGCTCTTCACAGGGTTAATTTATGGGGCTTTCGAGGAATACCGGGACTTTTAAGATGCTCTTCATTTTTTCCCCATTATTTTTGTTGTTGTTACACTCCTAAAGGCACTCCCGGGTTTCAGCACCTCACAGGACAAGGGTGGGGGTGGAAGAAAGAGCAGGGCCGGGAGGCGAAGGGGAGGATTTGCCTCCTAATCAAACCGCTTACACGGCTCAGGTTGCCCAACATAGTTTTTAAAATTAAATTTCTAACCAAGTTATGAGCAGTAAAACTCAGATTTAGGAACTGAGAGGAAAGTGAGACAAACGTGGGCCGCACACACCTTTTCCCAGGTCTCCACCAATTTGAATTCGCTATTAGGGGTATGAAGAGTTTGAGGCCTTAGGAAATTTAAAAGTTTAAAAACCGAGGACAGGCGGGAGAAAGGGTTAGAGTAACAGGTGAGGGGGTGACTGGGGAAGGCGGGGGGGGGGGCGGGAGGAGGAGAAAGCCCTTAGACCGCAAATTGTCGGTGAGGGGTTCCTGGCCCAGCACCCCCAGCCCCAGCCTCTGGGCGCGCAGAGGTGGGCGGCAGAGGGCTGAGGCCTACGAGGCCTGGACTCCTGGGGCCCGACCTCCGGCTCGCCATCTTTGATCCCAAGCGGAGGAGGTTGGTGTTCATGCTATAGATTACCTTAAAGGTTCCTTTAAGCACCTTAATACACAACTAGCTCAGAAATCATTAAGAGACCTAGAGAAGGAGAAAAAATACCCTCACACTCACCGGTAATAAGTGTTGACATGCAGCAAAAATCGATTGAGTGGAACCGAGGTGGTGGCAGTAGAGATGGCTGAAGGGGGGACCCGCGTGTGAACGGGAGGGGCGAGAGGACAGACTCCACCGGCTCGGGAACTAGGCTTTTCTCACTTGAAGGGAAAAAGAGGGGCGGAAAAGGGTCGGGGGGCGAGCGGAGTTGGGTGTGGGAAACAAGGGGGTGGTGAAGGGGGTAATTCTTCCTTCTGGAAGTCCAGGGAAAGGAGCTGAGGTGGGAGAAAGGGCTTCTCATCAGTCCCGAGTCTCCGCCCCCAGCCCGCACCACTCAAGTTGGGGATGAGACAACTCTTCCCAAACCTCGACTTCCATTTTTGTTTTCTGCAGATTGATCAATTGCCTCGAAATAGAGTTCTATTTCAGCCAGCAAAGTAGGCCGAGGTCCGCCTCCCGTAGCCAGCTCTCCCAAGTCATTCTTGGACCTGCAGGAGACGCAAATCCTCCCAGCAGGTCTCGTTAGCGTTTCCAGCCCCCATCCCCAAATCCCTTCTCCCAGGCCCCTCCCTCCCCTCCCCCCGCCGCCCCTCCCCCCATACCAGGCGGAGCTCGGGGAGGCCCGGACCGCTGGGCTCCGCGGCTCCAGAAGCCAAAGTCCGCCCGTGGGGACCGTTTTCCTCTCCACTGCTCTCAAGTGAACAACAAGGACGGAGGTGACCCTCGGCCAAAGGGCTTTTATCTGCCCCCCACTGCCGCGTGATCCCTCCGTAGGTTAGAGGCAGAGCTTAAAAAAAAAGAAAGAAAGAAAGTTAATGTGCATTGAGCACCGATCTTAAATCGGGGACATTATCTGCGATCTCTTTAAGTGGCAGCAGCAGGCCCATGCAGAACAAAGACTCAGTGTCTGAGCCTCAAAAGCTTATAGGTAAAGTTTCAGCCAGATAAAAGTAACCTAAGCGCAAAACACAGGTTTTCTCGGCTCCAGAAAACTGCTGGCTACTTTTCGCTCCCTATTCCCCAGGGTTGTGTTTGTCCTCGCCCACTGGGGGAGGAGGGTGACCAGAATAGCAAAGGACCTCAGATTTTACCCTTCATCCCCCCTCCCCCAGCTCCTCGGTAATGAATTCCTTCCGACTAAGTCGTATTTGCTTCGATTTGTTATGAAATCAAATTTCACATTTAAAAAAAAAAAAAGGCTGAAAACCACCAACAAAGGAAGAGCGGGTGCTTAAAGTTCTTTTAAACACTCACACCGACCTCATTCCCCGCTTAGATGTCAGAGGATGGGAGGGAGGGCCAGGGCTGTAATTCATCTTGATTTGCTTCATTGTCCCGCAGTTTGCAAACCATAATCCTGTATAATTTCAGGAACAAGCAGGTTTAGAATTAATGGGTCAATATTATTTAAAACAAAACACGGGGAGCGTGACCTTTGCCTCAACTACATATTGCTCTACAAGACTCAGGAAACTCCACTCTAACCTCTCAACCCCTGGGCTCTTTGGGAAACTAAAGGGCTGTAGTTATTAGAAATGGTCTTTGTTTCTTTTAATGTCTCGAAAGGATTTGGAAATAGAATGCAATATAACATGAAGAATCTCTCTACTTAAGCCTGAAAGATAAACGTGGAGGCCTAAATATTTTGAACTGGAGGTGTTTCCTTGTAAACTTATTATAGATGTATTCCTCTTGAGAGGAATGTATATAAACTGTACATGTATACATACACACATAATTCTCCAGAACAATTTACTGGATGTGAAGACCTCCCCCCCAAAGAAGTCAATCCAAGCTGACATACTTCCTAAATGTCTCTCTCCTTTCTTCTTTCTCTCTTATATTATTTGCTAGCAATAATGGAATCCTCTGGGTTTAAGCCAAAGAAAAATCTGGGAGACAAGACCAGACTTTGCAGCCTTTTTTTTATCCCCCCTGGGAGTGGCTTTTCTTTTTTTTTCTTTTTAGTTTCTGATGAATGACTATAATTTATTTCTACCAAATTTAAATAAGTCCTGCTGCCTTGTGTGTTTAACTAGGCAGGCAGAGGGAACTGGTTTGTTTAGGAAGCAGTGACTGAGAAACCCTGGCCAGGTGACAGAGGAGGGCAGAAAGAATCCAGACCAATTTGTATGTAGTATATTTTACTCCCATGAAATAAAACACATTTTTCATATTTGCTGAAAAGTAAAACAATAATATTGTACGAAATGTTATACACAGGGTAGGTTGTACATAGCAGTTTCAGAAACATCATTGCATCCACCAGAGAAACTATTCTAAAACTGATATTCACACATTATTTTATAATAATAATATGTTAGAAACATACAGTGTGGCATTTAGTATGTACATTCCTTTGCTCACAAGCGAAAAACCCTAATCGCTTCTGAATAACATGCTTTATTTTAAAGCCTAACCTTTAAAAACACTGTTGTGATAGTACTAACAACTGCTTTTTATAAAATTAATTTGACATTTCGATATATATACATCCTTTCAGTCATTTTAATGTTAACAATGCTAAACTTAAAAAATAACAAGCTTATAGTAATGTTAAAATGTCATATCCAGTCAAACATTTGTGTGTGTCCTTGCAACTGTCGGAAATACTTTTAGTGAAAGATGTCAGACATTGAGGAAATTCCTTTGAAATCAAAGGAGCTCTCTTTAATTCAGTGGTTTCCTTTTCTCTTTATATCTTCTCTTTCTCTCCCCTTCTTTAGTGCCCACGACCTTCTCGCGTAATTCCCAGTCTTTCAAGGGCAGAGTTGCCCCATCCGGCACGGTCCTAGGATCCGGGTGCTGTGGGCGAGGCTCACACCGGCCGGTCCACCGCATACTGGCAAGCACTCAGGTTGGACGCCGGGTTCTGCACGCTGGCGTAGCCGAAGCTGGAGTGCTGCTTTGCTTTCAGTCTCAGGCTGGCCAGGCTCGAGTTACACGTGTCCCTGTAAACGTACGGAGGAGTCGGCGGCGCGTAAGGACAGGCGGGCGTCGGCACCGCGGAATTCAGCGACGGGCTGCTCAGGTTGTTCAAGTTATTCAGGCTATTGAGGCTGGAGCCCGGGACACCGGTCACAGCTGAGGGCACCATGCTGGACGACATGCTCATGGAGGAGATGGAATTGGGTGGGGAGAACATGCTCTGCGACGACAGGGGGTTGACGTTCATAGAGTTGAAGAAAGGGAAGCTCTTGGTGGACAGAGAGGCTGACGTGAGACCCTTGGCGGCCCAGTTGTTGTAGGAATAGCCCGGGTACATGTCGTCGTAGGGCTGCATAAGACCGTTGAACTGCGGCCCAAAGCCATTCTTGCACAGCTCGGCCTGCTGGTTGCGCTCCCGCTTTCTCCATTTGGCCCGGCGATTCTTGAACCAAACCTGGGGGTGGAAGGCAAGGGAGCAAACAGATGCCACAGATCAGATTAGTAAAACGATCCCACAAAGCACCACAGGCCACCACCTCCGAGAGACAGACAGACACGCACACACACGTACGTGCGCGCGCACGCACACATCCCGGCCCCCCCAATTTTCCCCAACAGCCCACCGCCCCTGGGGCCCCAGCTGCCTGAGCCCCGTACAAGCGAGGGAGGCCCAGGCTCTGAACTGCGCCACAAACCCCAGTCCAACACCTGGCGGCCTGTGGGCGGCTTGTTCACTAACCCAGGCCCTCCTCAGGATCCAAAAACACTTACTGTAAAATAAACGCGGGGCAGCGGGTTTTCCGCCCAACCCTTACCCGGCCGCCTTGCAAACTTGCTTCCCTTCCAAAGCCACAGACACAGTGATGAGGACAAGGGGCTTTTAGGACACCAGAGGCCCGGGCTCTCTTTTACACAGCTCCTCCCTCCTGTCTCAGACCTCCCCTGCCGCCCCCCACTCCACAGAACGTGCTCTCACAACTGGCGCCAGGCCTCGACCCCCATCCTCGCCTAGCAAAATAAGGAATCAAAAAGCAAAAGACCACCCTCCCTTCGGCCTCCTAAACTCCTCAAGCTTGGCTTGTAATTCTCTGGGAACCCAGAACCGGTTGTTCCGCAGCCTCCCTCTCCCTTCGCTCGGCTTGTTCTCACCCTCCGCCCACTCCAGGCCAGGCCCCCGCGCCCAGCGCTGTTTCCGCCGGGCCCAGACCATTTGCTTGGCTTTGCGAGCAGCCGCCTAACCCGGTCAGCCCCCACCCGCGTCCGGTGGCCCCGACGCAACCCTTCTCTCAATCCACATTGGGCCCGCCCGTCGTCGCAGACTAAGGCTTTTGTGTATTGGAGTGAGGCCTGGCCCCAGATTTCAGAGCAGACACCGGTGATGTTTCACATTACACATCTCAGCCGGGCCCAGCCGCCTAATCCGCTTTTTTTTTTTTTCCTTTTCCCTTTCATTCTCGATTTCCTTTTTATCCCCCTTCCTCTTTGCACCCGACTGCTATAAAAAAAGCACGCTTCACTCCCACTTGGCTGGACACGCAGCGGGCCTGGATGGAGGCAGCCAGAGAGAGCGAAAGCCCAGCATGGTAGGGGCAGGGAACCTGGGAGGGATTGCAGAAAAACCGAAGGGGGTGGGGGTGGGGGGAAGAGGTCTTTTCCGAAGGATTCCAGAGAACCCACTGATTGTGTTTTTATTTTAATCACTTGCAGTTTCTACCCTAGGCCATCTAAACTTTGCCCAGGCAAGAAGAGTACGTGCAAGTCCCCTTCCCCCGAAGCGTAGGAGAGCTAATGAAAGACTGACCTTGCGCAAAACCAGGCGGCCGGAGAGCCAGAGGTCTAGCTCTGAGCAGTTAAACTAAAACCATTTTCAACTTCATCCCGGCTGTTATCCACCAGCATAGCCACATATCCTACACAAATGCTACCCAGAGAGTGCCTTCGTTCTCTCTGCTTTGGGAAAGCATTTTGGTCTTTATTTATTTTATTTTATTGTCGTTATTGTTGTATAGTGTTTTCTTCTTTCTTCTCTGCTCTAACTGGGGGCTCTATTTCTCCATCCAGAGCTGCTGCTGCTTCTTTTTTTTTTTTTTATTTCTTTTTTCCTTTTCTTAACAGCAAAGCCTCTGGATCCTGCTATTTGTGTTTCTGCTTCCAGAATCCTAACACATTTGGAGTTTTCCACTGACCAGAATAAACCAGGATGTTGCTACTGGGTAATTTAAGTTCACTTTTGCCAATCCATAAAGTACAGATTTGCTACAAAGGTAAGCCACCCCCCCCTTTTAAAAAAAACTATTATCATTGGGAAGAAGGGTATTAGTAACAATCTCCTGAGAAAAGATAAATAAACCAAACGGAAAAGTCTTTCTTTTTTCTTTTCTTTCTAAGAGGACTAACAGGACAGTAGGTGTGTATCAAAACTGCTTCCGTAAATCACAAAACTAAGGGATAGGGTATGGGAGAGACCTGAATGGCCGAAAAACCTCAAAGACTACGTAAGGAGGATGAGCTGAGTAGAGAGAGAAAAGGCCGGGCTAGGCTGGGCGCGAAAGTTTCCCACGGAGGATCAAATCTTGCATGTCTCCGGCGGGTATTTCTTGTTAAAAGCGCACAGGTTGGAGCCTGTTCTCGCCTCCTGGCCTGGGAGGGATTTTATTAGCGCTCATCTGGCGACTGCAGGCCGGGAACACAATGCCCTGTGCAGGGAAATGCCACGCGGCCCGGTTCGGAAGGGCTAGGGGTGGCGGGGCAGTGAGCGGGTGCCGCTCCAGGCGCCCGCGCCAGGCCTACCGCCTGTCTCCTAAGGGGGAGCTGTAACCTCGCAACCGGGGCCGCCGAGAGGCCTTCTGCTTTTGCAAAGGCACACCACCCGAGCCCTCCGGGAGACGCCGCCTTCCGCACTCCCTCTGTCCGGGTCTACGTGGCCTGCATCTCTACAATGGCTTCCTTCCTAGCCTTCCCAGGCTCCGCGAGGGGTCCTACCCGAACTCGGGCTTCCGTGAGGTTGGTCCACACGGCGATTTCCTCGCGCGTGGACATGTCCGGGTAGCGGTTCCTCTGGAAAGTGGCCTCCAGTTCCTGCAGCTGCTGGCTGGTGAAGTGAGTGCGCTGCCGCCGTTGCCGCTTCTTCTTGGACGGGTCTTCGGTGCCCACGTCCTCATTCTTTCCCTGCTGGCTCTTATCTTTCTCTGAAAACGAAACACACAAAGGTTCCCGTCAGCACGTCCACCTGCTGCCCGCGAACTCCAGCTGGACCCGGCGGCGGAGGCCGGGGATGAGATGGGCTGCCAGGGGAGGAGTGTGTGAACGGCCTCTCCGGGCCGCGGGGAGCGCTGCGACTGTAGGGTGTGCAGATGGGAGTGTGGGTGTGAGCGCCCCATCTCCTCCCCTCCCCCAGCGCCGCACGTTTTATTTACATGTTTATCTCGGGGCAAAGGCACATTCATTTTTATAGCCTCTGCTTTCAAGTATATTTACACACCTCTGCGCAGACACACCAAATCTCCTCGGACACCCGCACGCGCGCCTTTACAGAGCCCCCTCAGATCTCGATGCGGTTTCGGAAGGCTAGTAAAGGTAGATTTTGGGATTCGGTCACCCACCCAAGTTCTTCTGCCCTTTAGAAATACCGCTTCTTCTGCGGCGTAGTTTCGGAAATACTTTTCTAACAGGAGCAGCTTCTCCGGAGCTAAAAGCCAAGAGAACAGGGACCGGGTTGGGGGGCTGGGGGCTGGTCCCTGAACGTCTTCGAATGGAGATGCTGGGATTTTTGTGACCCAGGAAACCTCGGGAGGCCAGGATAGGAATAGGGAAGAGTAGGAGAATGGCTCGCGGCGTTCGCGGCACCTCAGGCGGTCGAGGTTGGGAGAAAGGCACACGGAGCCAAAAGAATCCTGGCTCCGGAAGTTCTGCGGGAAGCAAACTAAACGACCACTCCCACCACGCCTCCCCCAGGAGGGGCCGACTTCCTTGGGGGCGAGAAAGGCCGAGCTGCATGGGGCGGCTAGACCCGGGTACCTGCGGGGCCGCGCGGCGCCTTACCTGCGGCCTCGGGGCTGGAGGTGTCAGAGATGGTGTGCACCTCCAGCCTGTGTTTGGAAGAGTCCAGGGAGCGGGTCTGACCGGGAGCCAGGACTGAAGCCATGGCCAGTGGCTGGGGATGGTGACAGGAGGAAGACGAGGAGGTGGCCAACAGCTTGGTCCCTACTGCTCGGTGCTCCAAGTGCAGCGGGCCTTTCATGCAGTTCATGGACGAAGGAGCGCGCCGCCCTACAAGTCCTGGGCTGCCGTCCGGCCGAAACCCCGTGGCCGCCGCCGCCGCCTGCTCGGCTTTGCGCTATAGGCGCGGAGTTTCTCCGCTGTGGCCGCCGCGGGCAAAGCCAGGGAGCACAACCCCTGCTGAGTCTTTGAACCGAGCTGTCCCTGTCCCCCTCTCCTTCAGAAGGTTCTAGCGAAAGGGTCCGGCGGCGGAAAGTCAGCGGGCAAACGGAGACATGGGGATGTGGGTAGGAGGGCACAGCTCGGAGCGTCTTTGGGCAGCAGGCTTCCAAGCTCCAAAGAGAAACCAGAGTGGGCAAAGACCCCTTTCTTCCCTCCCTCCCTCCCCCAAGTACCCCTCCAATAAGGAAAGCTAACGGCGTTCGCGATCTGCCCGCCCCCCGCGCGGCAGCCCTGACAGCGAAGTGTCAAGAGTGACAGGGACAGGTAGCTGATATTAGATCCCCCGCAGCGGTAGCTGCGGCTGCGGCAGCGGCAGCGGCGCGGGCCTCTGGGCGCACCCTCCGCGGCGCGCACACGCACACCCCCTCGGGCCGTCGAGCCCGAGCACGGACTCGCAGCAGCTCAACTCCCGGCACCTGGGCGAGCGACGGACCAGCTCTGCGGCTCCGAGCTTCCCTGTTGGCCTAACATCTTAAAACCAGAGGCGGGCTTCCTGGCGCCCAGACGTCACTTTGCCGCGGCCCTCCCAACCTTCCCCGCCTCCGACTCCTCCCAGACCCTTCGCCCAGCGGGAGTGACGTGGCTCCGCACCAATCAGGAGACCCCGAGCCGCGGCGGAGGGACAGCCCTGTCTGCACCTATCAGCTGTGTGGGGCCGGGCTAATACCTCACTGTGCCCACCAAGTCTACACCCGCCGGCGCCCGGGAATTCTGCTCTGCCCCGGCCGAAGACCGTCCGGCTTTTAGTTCAGGCGGGGAGGTAGAGAGGTGAGGCCGGGAGTAAAAGGCTCGGAAGAAAGGAACGGAAAGGTCGAGGGCTGAAAGGTACAAGGATCAACAAGCCTCCCCACCCCTTCCTTTTGTATCTCACTACAACCAATTCCAATTGAGAGATGTTTTTCTCTTCCTGGATGAAAAGGAGACATGCTACTTAAAACCAGAAAATTTAAAAAACAGCAACAAATCACCTCTCCGAGCTTAAATTTTCCAAACAGGCTGTCAAGTGAATGCTGCGCTAATCTGAAGAAGCTTTACTTTAATTGCAAAGAAGACAAAGCCCTGAGAAGGCAGGCTAATAAATTAGAAATCGAGAAGCAAATGGACCCGTCAAAAGAAAATTACCTTGACTTTAAACGAACAACTGTTTGGTGGTTCACTCTGGATTTATACAAGAATAAAAAGTCGCCTCAGATCACGTTCTCTGTAATGCTTATTAGTCCCCAGACAGAGAATACACTATAGAATAGAAACCCTAACCCAGCATTTTCAAAATGCTGAAAGCTTATCCATTCTACTTAGCGTTGATTAAGACACATATCCTAGATCTTTCAAATTCCTTGTACACTGTATTAAGCTTGTCCTAACCCTAGAGAGAGCCCGCTTTAAATTCGACTCTCTTGTTTACTTTATTATCAATCAGATTCAAATCCATAAAGCCCGCAGAATCAACAACCTTGAGCTAATTATATATAAAATATGCTTTAATGAATTTCCATACAATTAAGAATGTTGCCAAATAACCAATTTCAAGGATAATTTTTAAGTCATTTTCTTTTCCTAGGGAGCTCAAGGCTGTTGAATCTTTAAAGTCCAAGCAGGCAGAGGCAGTAGGGTGGGGGCGAAGGGTAAAAACCTAGCAGAATACTCAGCTAGGAAAAGCAAAGCCTTAATCACTTATTTTTTAAAAAAGAAGAAAAAAGCCATCTTTGGGGACATCCAACTCTTTACAACACTATATTCCAAAAAACTTTAATTTCCAAATAAAGAAATACAAACATCATTCAAAATGATTTTTGGAAAGTCCTTTTGTCCTCTGCTTAGGTCATCAGGAGAGCACAAACTAATCTCCTTTGGGTTTCTGCATTGGTGATTGCTTTATTGTGGAGTTAGTGTTATCATCCCTGAATGTGTATTTGTTTGACATTACAGTCAATGATTTGTAACACCAGTAGGAGGTATCTCCAGAAAACTCCCTCCTTGTCCTTGTTCACAAGATTGGGAAACGTAAGCAGTCTGGGTCAGAGTGGATGAAGCAGACTACAAATATGTTTGTAACCTATGTGTCTCTCCTTTGCCTGGCTCTCCGGGCCAAACCCTATCTGCAACTCCTCCCCCATTTTAAACATGCTTGAGAGTCATCCAAAGAACCAAATGAGAATTGTTCTTCAGTCTCTCCCCAGAAGTATCATCCTACTTTAAGAAAAATATAGCTGCAAGGAGGAATTTTCTTTATAGTAAGATTTAAAATCAGCATTTCTGGTTTTAACCTTTTATTCCAGTTTACCCCATTTCAAGCATACACACACCTGCTCAGTGCAGAACACATCCTCATGTGACAGGTCTGCATTAGCTAAGGCTCATACATCCAGCTATATTAGGTCCTGCAATCTTATCACTAAATTATACATATTACACCAGCAGCCTGTTGGTAAAGAAGGTTAAATTAATTTACATTCTGCTCATTATCTGGTGCTTAAATGACGCATTTTATCCCTGAGATTTGGCGGAGAATCTCCTCAGACCCCACAGCATTTCACCGAAGACAATGCTCTTACATTTGTAGTGGTTTTTAATCTGGTAAGACTCTAATTTGCTTAAGTCTTTTAAATAAGGGTTTTAAATGTTTCTAGCCATTTTCTTATTGAATTTCCTCTAATTCCCCCAAGATCATAAAGTATATGTGTAAAGTAAATATTTCCTCCCATTGCACTGCCAGCCGATGACCTATAACTAAGTCAATATGAATCCAGCTCTTTTCTGCCCAATGTGTTTACTAATCATATTCCAGTTTCTTCTTTTTAGACCTCAGCATAGCTGCAATCCCCAAAATACCAAACCCATAAAGCTTCATTTCATGAAGAAACTCCATCACATGAAAGAATGAAAAACTCCCCACCATAGTGAACATAATTTCTTTCTTAGTATTAGTTTCTTTGAGAGTCAAACCCCGGAGCTGCAATTTTTGGTGGAGGCTCTGGGTGTTTCTTAAAACTCCTTACTCAGGAGAGCTGAGAAGCTCCACAGAACCATATAGATATGGAAGCCCATCTCTCATTAAACCCACAGAATTTTGATTTTAAACTCCATGGCTCTGTTGACTGACAGAACTCACATCACGGCAAATACACATATGAAAGACCTAGTCTCCAAATCAGCTTCCAAAGTGGTTGAAACACCCAAGAGCAAGTGACAGCTCCTCATAGTGCCAAATTGTGGGAGATATTGGAAGTACTGGTGATCTCCAGACAGCCTAAAAGCCTAAAAAGATAAAGAATCTTATACTGTATCTACCCATTGCAAAATCAAGTGGAAAATAAAGACAATTATCTGGAGATCTCTGGTTAAAGTAAGAACATAACCATATCTAACAATCAATCAATCGTCTATCTAGATATGCACATACATAATATATAATGCCTCCCCCAACCATCAGCTTAGCCAGTAAGGCATTTCTTTGCATCTTTCCAGAGTTTCAACTCTCTCCCGATCTCCTAGTCACTTCACACATGGTGAGCTTGGCTGACGCCCTTCTCAGGCCCACAGAATTCACTCCATGGATGGTACGAGTATGCCAACATGAAAAGTCTAGATGGTGAAAAGCAAGTAGTGGGAAACCAAGAAACACTTTTCAATGGAAACAGTGGTGGTGATGGTGGTGGGCAACTTGGGAGACAATCTACAAAAAAACTTGTGGTTGCACAGATACTGGTAGTATAGATAAAGAAGGGGTTGAAAGTAATCCTATGTATTTTGCAGGTTGAGCACTACCCTTGTGTTCCCCACGCACACACTCTTCTTTGACTGGTTCTAGAAATTTCTAGGACTTCCTAACCTCCCTCACAGAAATTTCCCATCCAGAAAAACATCAGGGTGGTCAGTTCAGGGAAACTGGAGGTGCTGTAAGGTCTCCACGAAAGGAAGCCCAGTGCGGGTTTGGGTTTTCCAGTCTGAAGACATTCAAGAATTCTCAGTTGGGTTTTCTTGCTTAATCTTTCAAAGCAAGACCCTTGAGGAGGGAAATGTGTGACATGGGGTCAGGAGTGTTTTGAGCTGCTGGTATTTGCCACCGATTACCAGTCTTAAGGTCTTATTTAATTTCACACTCTGTAGAGGTAGTAGCGCAAAGCCCCTCTGGCCCTCCTGGCGAGATTGGTTGGACTGCGCGGCCAAACTCTCGGGTGCGGTGGCCCAAGTATGGGCTGATATTCAACCAAGCGATCCACAACTTTTGGGGAAAAAAAAAAAAAATCTGTCCTCAAAGCTCACCTGGAAGATGGCTCAATTAGATGTCTCCCTGCGCTGTCAGATCGTAGAGGGGTGGGAGTCTTGCTCTGGTCCAGGCCAGCTCAAGGCGGTGGCCAGCCCGGACTCAGCTCAGAGCCGCGTGACAGGCGTGATTGTGTGTGCGTGCGCGTGTGGTGTAAGGCACAGAGGTCAGATGGAGACCTTGCACCCTGCCCAAGAAGTGGCCTTTTCTCCCCTCCTTCTTCTGCTGGCTCTTTCTTCGCACACAAATAGAGGTGGAAAGGCCTCCTTCGTTGTACCGCCTCCGTCCCCCCCGCCCCGCCCCCCGCTCCAGCCACGAAGCGGAATCACCCAGAAATGAAAAACTTTACTGTGGCTGATCCCCATCCCCATCCCATTCTCTAAACGGATTAAAAAAGTGCTGGTTTGTAAAAAGGGGCCGATTTTTTTCTGAATCATAAATCTGTGCATGTACTGAGCAGCACCCACATTCTCTGGGTCCCTGAAGACGGCATTCATATTTTAGTCCCCCACGCTCAACCACTTGAGGTTTGGAGTAACTGGTTGCGGGTGCTCGGGGTGGTAGGGGGAGGTACCCCCACACTGGCGCGTGAAGAGAAGAGCAGGGATTAGAGGAGGCAGGACGGGTTGGGGGAGGGGATGCCTCTGAAACCATGAAACCCACGTGCTATATGCCTTTTTACATTAGTTTGTTAACACTGCTGGTTTATTAGGCCATCGTTTAATCTCAGAAAACAACTAGCTGCGGAAAAGTCAAATAAAGAGAATGGTATAAATTTGTTTCAGCCGTGGGGGAGAGATAGGGATAGATGGGGGGCAGAGAGAGAGAGAGAGAGAGAGAGAGAGAGAGAGAGAGAGAAAAGAGAATGAGATAGACATTAATATCCAGGTCCAGAGAGGAGAACTGACAAGGGACTGACTAAAGTCACTTTTAAAAAAATTGGATTAAAACGCGCCTCTTTTTCTCTTTTCTGTATTTCTCCCCTCTAGCTCTTGTCCCTCTCCCTTTTCTATTTCTCTTGCTCTCCCTTTTTTCTGTCTTCCCTCTCCCAGACATGCTGGTAGCTAACATTCAGCATTAGTTGTCATGGTGACCATAAATCACATAAATCCAAAAATACCCACCTATAATCTGAGATGAAGCTTTTATTTCCCTAGCGAAATAATATTTTAAAAGCTGTCAGCTGACAAAAAAAAAAAAAAAAAAAGGAGCCCACCTCATCGTAGTAACCCAAGTAATATATTACTTCTAAAGGTTTAAATTAAAATGTCAGCCTGTTAAAAACATGCTGGGAGAATTTTGGGCACTCTTCATGTCAGAGCCTTACAATGAAGTTGACTCCACCACTCCTGATCACTCTTTAACACATATACACAATTTTGCTGCTCATTCTCCTATTAATTTCTTTCCTTCCCTCCCACCTACCTTAGTCTGTCCAGACTCTGCCATCGGTGGTAAAAGAAAGGAGTCTCCACCTGGATCAGAGAGGGGTTCAATCCTCTGTCTGAGCCTTTTGAGGACCTTGTGTGTTGGTCCTCTCTTATCAATCATTTCCCCAAACGAAACATGGGGTTTGGGGGGAAGAAAAGGTTCTCGTCAGGATCCAAAGGGGGGGTGACTCCCTAGAGGAACTGAGAAGAAAGAAATGCAGAGAAGACTGGGGGTGGAGGGGCAGACAGAGTAGTGAATTGACCTGGGCGACCAGTTTCTGTGGTTAAGTCTAGCCTAGGAAAGGTACCTGTATTCTCTCACTCCTGCTTTTTTTCTCCTGAGAGGAAACTTTCCTATTTGGAGACCCTGGTGGGGGAGGGGGGTGACGGCCACAGTTGGGCCTTTTGTCTTCTACCTTGGGCTTGTTGTCTTTTGCCTATCTTTGGATTACAGGGTATTCGCCTAGATGAAGAGCCATTAATTACCCATTCAGTCAATATTAGGAAGACGACAAAGCTTTTTACATAGGATTAAGAAGACATCAGATTGTTCCATTAGTATATTCCTGCTCACGAATAAGCTTTCGTTATACATTTCCCTTTCCCTCCCGAGTCGTTCTAACAACTGCTGCATATATTAACAGCGGGCGGTGCGGAATAACAGCCCAACCAGCCTTACGAAAAACTTTAAGCGCGCTTGGTGTCCGTAGCAAGGAACACGACGACCTGTAAAGACTACCTCTGCGGGTGGAGATCCGCAGGGACTGACTACCTATTGCACAACGGGTACAATTTCCCCCGACGGGGAAAAAACCCCCACAAAACGCAGAGGCAGCTTCTGCCAATAAGCTACAGAGTTGGCGCGGGGTGGGGTGGGGTGGGGTGGGGCGGTAGTAAAGGAAAAATGGAAATCTCCTCTCCTTAACCCTGTTCCCCTCTCTGGTTGCTTCTGCCTCAGACTTCACGCCCCTTCTGCTTGCCCCTGTCCCTTGCCCTGGGCCTCATCACTAAGAGCCTTCTACCCTCTAAACATCCCCCTTCTTTCAGACAACGGCTCAGGCCCCAAGCCCTGCTGCACGTACCACCATTTCGCATTTCTCTAGAGATGGTCTGGACTGCTCTCCCTGGTACCCTTGTTAGCATGAAAGCGGCTTCATGACGGCGAAGGGAAACCGGCTTATTTGCTTTCAGGGGGTACATTAGGAATCCACGCAGTATGTGCTCGGCAAACATTTGCTGATTGAATGAATGAAGGGTTTGCCGCCGCCCAGGCGGCAGGGGTTACCCCGGGTCCTCTGAAGAAGACTGAGATCTAGCTGCTTGCTGGGAGTGTGTGTGTCGCGGCTGGGGGCGCCACAAGGGGCCTTGGATTCTCCCTCCCAAGGGAAGGAAGTCCGAGCACCCCAGAAACTTGGGTGAGACTCTTGCAGCTCATCCACTGAGCCAAAGCTATTTAAAAATTAATGGCGTCTCTGCGGAAAGCCCGGCGAAGGTACCCGCCCAAGTATGGTCCCAGCAGCTCTGTCCGTTTTCAGTCCGGAAACCAGAGCCACCGCCCCGAAACTTTAAGGGTTACTGACAGGGGAGGATCACTCCCTCCCCTTCCTGAAAGTCAAGAGCACTGTTTGATTTCAGCAAAGAGGCTTCTTTTGGGACACCCAAAGCAAGGAAGTCAAGGATCTCTGTTCTAGGGGGACGTTCTCAGCAGACCCCTGTCCCTTCTTTCTGGGGGTACAGTTTAACTTGCCAACTCTTCCTCCCTCCACTTGGATGCCTAGCCATTCCTCCTTCAACCCTCTCTCAAACCTGCAGCCAACCTCGTGCCCCCTCCAGTTCCAGGGTTCCAGCCAAGCCGTGGGTCAGCCCAATGGCTATCAAGGGGACAGGGTTCCCTTGGGAAGGAACGCGGAGCTGGAGCCTTCCAGAGGTTAACCTTGTCTACTTAGAGACTGTTTTCAGTCTTCAACGAGAGCACACTGTTTTTGAGGGGTTGAGAGGATTGCGCCAATATAAAGCATCACGATTTCTTTTGAAAACTGCACGTCATTGTAAACATTTTTTCTTTTTGAAACCAAAAAAAAAAAAAAAGGTTATAAAAAATAAAGGAGAAAAATCTTTCTTTTAAAAGCAGGCTGTGGCCAGGAGTTTGCCTATCACATGAGTTAAATCAACTTATATTCAGTAGAGGGGACTCTGACAACCTTCCTTCCGAGGCACTGTAGTTTTGCCTACACATGTGTGACATTTTTTTTTTCTACCACATCCCTAAAAGCCAATAAAAATCAAGATTTTCGGCATTTCTCCCTATCACATGCCTCTCCTTAATTAATGGCATTAAACATGTTTAGGCAGCAACTTTCCTCTTCGGTCCAAAAGGTAGATTGTTGCCAGTGTAGAGCCTTTCACATGCACTAAAATAATCCTGGCCTCAAATGGTTAAGAAAACAATCATTCGTTTATTTCTAGTTCTTTATTTATCTGCTAATGATCAAAAGTGGATGCTCAGTGGCCCAAGCGGGGATTGTGACTGCAGCAGAAAGGACGCGCTCTCTGCAGTTTCTTGCCCACCTAGGAGGCCCCCAACCCATCTCCAGCCTCCCCTCCAACGGGCCCTGCCTCCCTAGCTCAGATGGAGACCACCTGTCCTCAGAAACCATTCCTGAGGTCTGGGAGCCCTGGGTTGGGGCGGGGATAGAAGACACCCTGTAGCGCTCCTGCTCCCAGCGCAGCAGGAAACCTCAGCCTCAGCTCCGTGGCTGCCAACCCACCCCAGGCGAAGCGAGATTGGGGAGCTCGCCCAAGTCTGGCCAGGGTCAGGACTGAACCCGCACAAAATATTTCCCCAGGAGTCATCGCCGTTCTTGATTTTTAACCCTATCCCAAACATACTCCGGTCTAATAATTTATTTTTACGACCAATTATCAAACAGAGGAAGAATTTAACACAATCTTAATGACAGAAATCACCCGACGTTATCTCTGCATGGCCCCATTTAACCCCATGGGGTTAATCCTGGACAAGTGAGCATTTAACTGGCCCAGCAGGAGGACTCGCGATATTGTGGTGTCGAGACTGCTCTGCTCCAGACCACTTTAGAAGTTTTATTTAGACAAACGATAATTTTCTCAGATTTACTGGGAAGCCCGAATGCAGGGCCTTTGTTTTCCTCTTAGTAATATGGTTTGTTTACTTGGCGGGGATCCCAATTCGCCCCCCTCCGGCACACATTACATTTGTATCCTTACACTTTAATCCGGAAAGAGGGGGTTAGGGGCTGAGGGCGGTGGGGGGCTTTATCTCCTCACACTATCAAAGGTCAACAACTTCCTAAGGCCAGGCACTTATTATTATAGTAACCTGGAAAACCCGGAGAATAGAAGAACGGTTAAGTTTGAGTCTCTCATGTATTCTAAGGGGAAGCTTGTCCCCTCATCCCTAGACACACACACGCACACACACAATTAAAGGGTAAGTTTCAGTTCAGCAAAGGCCTGTGCAGTGGGTTGGAGGCGTTTTAACTTTTACACAAGCCTGCAGACTGAGCAGCAGTGTCCCTTGACTCGTCCACAATGAAACCCGCTAATTTAGCAACGACACCACCAAGACCCGAGGCCTTGCAACCTGCACAACAGGTAGGTTCGCGTCGACAAGGGCACACACTTCAGTACACCCTTGGCTGCTGCGCACGGTCGCTGCCCTGAAGTTCTGCGGGGCTCCAGTGAGCTCTTTTACCTCCCGACCAGGCGAATCCTTGCCAACACAAGCCTCCTGTGGAAAACCCCGCACCCACCAGCCTGGGCGGGGCACCGCTGAGAGCTGCAGGGGCGGG